ACAATGACAGCAAGCCAGAATTGCAGCAAGACAACAGCTGTGCCCTGATTGAAAAAGAACCTTCCTCTTGTGCCCTGAACTCAATATGCCAGCCTCAAAAGCAAAGCTCACATCGGAAAATTCATTACAAACCATGATAAATAAGAAAAATGAGAAAAAAGCCAAAGAAATGCAGGAGTTCTTAGGGATTTTGGGCTTGAATTATGGCCATGTAAACGGCTATTTCCAGATACATCCACACCTCCCAACTGAGTGTCTTTGGTTTCTGAATGAATTAACAAAAAAATCACAGTGAAACTCGGTTTTGGAGGCAATTAATATCTGTCACCTCAGCCAGAGTGTTCAATTTTACTTTCGAAAACACAAAAACTTACCTTGCTCGTGTTACATGTACATATATAAGCTTCAAACGCATATTTGTTGTGTTTTTTATTTCATAATGGCTACTCTGTCCAAACTCTTGTTTGTATTACGTCAGAATACAAAATTTGGGAAGGAAGAAGGCAAAACCAACTCAGACCCAGAAAACATGTAGGAAATTGCCACTAAAGAAACCAAAAACAGCTGAGGCACGCAAAACAATGACAGCAAGCCAGAATTGCAACAAGCCAACAGCTGTGTCCTGTTTGAAAAAGACCATTGATCCGGTGCCCTGAACTCAATATGCCAGCCTCAAAACCAAAGCTCACATCAGAAAATTCATTACAAACCATGATAAATCAGAAAAATGAGACAAAAGCCAAAGAAATGCTAGAATCCATAATGATATTGGGCTTGATTTAGTCGCAAGGAAATTGGCTGTACCCAGATTCATCCACACCTCCAGCTGACTGCCTGTGGAATTCTGACTGAATTAACCTGAAAATCGCAGTGAAACTCGGTTTGGAGGCCATTAATATCTGTCACCTCAGCCAAAGTGTTCCATTTTATTTGCCAAAACACAAAACCTCATCTTGTCCTGTTACCTGTAGATTTCTGAGCTTCGAATGCCTATTTGTAGTGTTTTTTATTTCATAAGGGCTACTCTGCCCAAACTCTTGTTTGTATTGCGTCAGAATGCAAAATTTGGGAAGGAAGAAGGCAAAACCAACTCAGACCCAGAAAACATTTAGGAAATCGCCGCTCAAGAAACCACAAATCGGCTGAGGCACTCAAAACAATGACAGCAAGCCAGAATTGGAGCAGGCCAACAGCTGTGCCCTGTTTGAAAAAGACTATTCCTCCGGTGCCCTGAACTCCATATTGCAGCCTCAAAACCAAAGCTGACATCAGAAAATTCATTACAAACCATGATAAATAAGAAAAATGAGAAAAAAGCCAAAGAAATGCAAGAATCCATAATGATATTGGGCTTGGTTCAGTCGCAAAGGAAACCGGCTGTTCCCGGATTCATCCACCCCTCCAGCTGACTGCCTGTGGAATTCTGACTGAATTAACCTGAATATCGCAGTGAAACTCCGTTTGGAGGCAGTAAATAACTGTCACCTCAGCCAAAGTGTTCCATTTGATTTTCCAAAACACAAAAACTCCCCTTGGTCGTGTTACCTGTAGATTTCTAAGCTTCAAAAGAATATTTGTTGTGTTTTTTATTTCATAATAGCTACTCTGCCCAAACTCTTGTTTGTATTGTGTCAGAATACAACATTTGGGAAGGAAGAAGGCAAAACCATCTCAGACCCAGAAAACATTTTGGAAATTGCCGCTCAAGAAACCACTAATCGGCTGAGGCACTCAAAACAATGACAGCAAGACAGAATTGGAGCAGGCCAACAGCTCTGCCATGTTTGAAAAAGACAATTGCCCCGGTGCCCTGAACTCCATATTGCAGCCTCAAAACCAAAGCTGACATCAGAAAATGCATTACAAACCATGATAAATTATAAAAATGAGAAAAAAGGGAAACAAATGCAAGAATCCATAATGATATTGGGCTTGATTTAGTCGCAAGGAAACCGGCTGTTCCTGGATTCATCCACCCCTCCAGCTGACTGCCTGTGGAATTCTGACTGAATTAACCTGAATATCGCAGTGAAACTCAGTTTGGGGGCAATTAATATCTGTCACCTCAGACAATTTTATTATCCAAAACACAAAAACTCACCTTGCTCGTGTTACCTGTAGATTTCTAAGATTCAAACACCTATTAGTTGTATTTTTTATTTCATAATGGCTACTCTGTCCAGAAAACATTTAAAATTTCCGCTCAAGAAGCTACAAATCGGCTGAGGTACTTAAAACAATGACAGCAAGCCAGAATTGGAGCAGGCCAACAGCTGTGCCCTGTTTGAAAAAGACCATTCCTCTGGTGCCCTGAACTCAATATGCCAGCCTCAAAACCAAAGCTCACATCAGAAAATTCATTACAAACCATGATAAAAAGAAAACAGAGAAAAAAGCCAAAAAATGCAAGAATCCATAATGATATTGGGCTTGAGTTAGTCGCAAGGAAACCGGCTGTTCCCGGATTCATCCACCCCTTCAGCGGACTGCCTGTGGAATTCTGACTGAATTAACCTGAATATCGCAGTGAAACTCAGTTTGGAGGCAATTAATATCTGTCACCTAGCCAAAGTGTTCCATTGTATTTTCCAAAACACAAAAACTCCCCTTGGTCGTGTTACCTGTAGATTTCTAAGCTTAAAACGCCTATTTGTAGTGTTTTTTATTTCATAATGGCTACTCTGTCCAAACTCTTGTTTGTATTGTGTCAGAATACAAAATTTGGGAAGGAAGAAGGCAAAACCAACTCAGACCCAGAAAACATGTAGGAAATTGCAGCTCAAGAAACCAAAAGTCAGCTGAGGCACTCAAAACAATAACAGCAAGCCAGAATTGGAGCAGGCCAAAAGCTGTGCCCTGTTTGAAAAAGACCATTCCTCCGGTGCCCTGAACTCCATATTGCAGCCTCAAAACCAAAGCTCACATCAGGAAATTCATTACAAACCATGAAAAATAAGGAAAATGAGAAAAAAGCCAAAGAATTCCAAGAATGCATAATGATATTGGGCTTGATTTAGTCTCAAGGAAACCGGCTGTTCCTGGATTCATCGACCACTGCAGCTGACTGCCTGTGGAATTCTGACTGAATTCACCTGAAAATCGCAGTGAAACTCAGTTTGGAGGCAATTAATATCTGTCACCTCAGACCATTTTATTATCCAAAACACATAACCTCACCTTGGTCGTGTTACCTGTAGATTTCTAAGCTTCAAACGCCTATATGCTATGTTTTTCATTACAAAATGGCTACTCTGCAAAAACTCTTGTTTGTATTGCGTCAGAATACAAACTTTGGGAAGGAAGAAGGCAAAACCAACTCAGACCCAGAAAACATGTAGGAAATTGCCGCTCAAGAAACCACAAATCGGCTGAGGCACTCAAAGCAATGACAGCAAGCCAGAATTAGAGCAGACTAACAGCTGTGCCCTGATTGAAAAAGACCATTCCCCCAGTGCACTGAACTCCATATTGCAGCCTCATAACCAAAGCTGACATCACAAAATTCATTACAAACCATGATAAATAAGAAAAATGCGAAAAATCCAAAGAAATGCAAGAATCCATAATGATATTGGGCTTGATTTAGTCGCAAGGAAACCGGTTGTTCCCGGATTCATCCACCCCTCCAGCTGACAGCCTGTGGAATTCTGACTGAATTAACCTGAAAATCGCATTGAAACTCTTTTTGGAGGCAATTAATATCTGTCACCTCAGCCAAAGTGTTCCATTTGATTTTCCAAAACACAAAAACTCACCTTGGTCGTGTTACCTGTAGATTTCTAAGCTTCAAACGCCTATGTGTTGTGTTTTTTATTTCATAATGGCTGCTCTACCCAAACTCTTCTTTCTATGGCGTCAGAATACAAAATTTGACAAGGAAGAAGGCAAAAGCAACTCAGACCCAGAAAACATTCAGAAAATTGCCGCTCAAGAAACCACAAATAAGCTGAGGCACCCAAAATAAAATGACAGCAAGCCAGAATTGGAGCAGGCCAACAGCTGTGCCCTGTTTGAAAAGGACCATTCCTCCGGTGCCCTGAACTCAAAATGCCAGCCTCAAAACCAAATCTCACATCCGAAAATTCATTACAAACCATGATAAATAAGAAAGATGAGAAAAAAGCCAAAGAAATGCAAGAATCCACAATGATATTGGGCTTGATTTAGTCGCAAGGAAACCATCTTTCCCGGATTCATCCACCCCTCCAGCTGACTGCCTGTGGAATTCTGACAGAATTAACCTGAAAATCGCAGTGAAACTCAGTTTGGAGGCAATTAATATGTGTCACCTCAGCCAAAGTGTTCCATTTGATTTTCCAAAACACAAAATCTCACCTTGGTCGTGTTACCTGTAGATTTCTAAGCTTCAAACTCCTATTTCTTGTGTTTTTTTTATTTCATAATGGCTACTCTGTCCAACCTCTTGTTTGTATGGCGTCAGAATACAAAATTTGGGAAGGAAGAAGGCAAAACCAACTCTGACCCAGAAAACATTTAGGAAATTGCCACTCAACACACCAAAAATCAGCTGAGGCACCCAAAACAATGACAGCAAGCCAGAACTGGAGCAAGCAAATGGCTGTGCCCTGTTTGAAAAAGAACCTTCCTCTTGTGCCCTGAACTCCATATTGCAGACTCAAAACCAAAGCTCACATCAGAAAATTCACTACAAACCATGATACATAAGAAAAATGAGAAAAAAGCCAAAGAAATGCAAGAATCCATAATGGTATTGGGCTTGATTTAGTCTCAAGGAAATCAGCTCTTCCCAGATTCATCCCCCCCTCCAGCTCACTACCTGTGGAATTTTGACTGCATTAACCTGAAAATCACAGTGAAACTCAGTTTGGAGGCAATTAATATCTGTCACCTCAGCCAAAGTGTTCCATTTGATTTTCCAAAACACAAAAACTCAGCATGGTCGAGTTACCTGTAGATTTCTAAGCTTCAAAAGCATATTTGTTGTGGTTTTTATTTCATAATGGCTACTTTAACCAAACTCTTTTTTGTATTGCGTCAGAATACAAAATTTGACAAGGAAGAAGGCAAAACCAACTCAGACCCAGAAAACATTTAGGAAATTGCCGCTCAAGAAACCAAAAGTCAGCAGAGGTACCCAAACCAATTACATTAAACCAGAATTGGAGCAAGCAAAGAGCTGTGCCCTGATTGAAAAAGATTCATCCTCTTCTGCCCTGAACTCCATCTTCCAGACTCAAAACCAAAGCTCACATCAGAAAATTCATTACACACCATGATAAATAAGAAAAATGAGAATAAATCCAAAGAAATGCAAGATTCCATAATGATATTAGGTTTGATTTAGTCGCAAGGAAACCGGTTGTTCCCAGATTCATCCACCCCTCCAGCTGACTGCCTGTGGAATTCTGACTGAATTAACCTGAAAATCACAGTGAAACTCAGTTTGGAGGCAATTAATATCTGTCACCACAGCCAAAGTGTTCCATTTTATATTCCAAAACACAAAAACTCACCTTGGTCATGTTACCAGTAGATGTCTAAGCTTCAAACGCCTATTTGTTGTGTTTTTTATTTCAATATGGCTACTCTGTCTAAACTCTTGTTTGTATTGCGTCAGAAGCAACATTTGAAGGAAGAAGGCAAAACCAACTCAGACCCAGAAAACATTTAGGAACTTGCCGCTCAAGAAAGCAAACTCAGCTGAGGCCCCCAAACCAATGACAGTAAGCCAGAATTGGAGCAAGTAAAGGTCTGTGCCCTGATTGAATATGGCCATTCCTCCGGTGCCCTGAACTCCATCTTGCAGACTCAAAACCAAAGCTCACATCAGAAAATTCATTACAAACCATCATAAATAAGAAAAATGAGAAAAAAGCCAAAGAAATGCAAGAATCCATAATGATATTGGGCTTGATTCAGTCGCAAGGAAACCGGCTGTTCCCAGATTCATCCACCCCTCCATCTGGCTACCTGTGGAATTCGACTGAATTAACCTGAACATCGCAGTGAAACTCAGTTTGGAGGCAATTAATATCTGTCACCTCAGTCAAAGTGTTCCATTTGATTTTCCAAAACACAAAAACTCACCTTGGTCGTGTTTTCTGTACATGTATAACCTTGAAATGCTTGTTTGTTGTGTTTTTTATTTCATAATGGCTACTCTGCCGAAACTCTTGTTTGTATTGCATCAGAATACCAAATTTGGGAATAAGAAGGCAAAATCAACTCAGACCCAGAAAACATTTAGGAAAATGCCGCTCAAGAAACCACAAATCGGCTGAGGCACCCAAAACAATGACAGCAAGCCAGAATTGGAGCAAGCCAACAGCTATGCCCTGATTGAAAATGACCATTCCTCTTGTGCCCTGAACTCCATATGCCAGCCTAAAAACCAAAGCGCACATCAGAAAATTCATTACAAACCATGATAAATAAGAAAAATAAGAGCCAAAGAAATGCAAGAATCCATAATGATATTGGGCTTGATTTAGTCGCAAGGAAACCGGCTGTTCCCGGATTCATCTACCCCTCCAGGTGACTGCCTGTGGAATTCTGACTGAATTAACCTGAATATCGCAGTGAAACTCAGTTTGGAGGCAATTAATATCTGTCACCTAGCCAAAGTGTTCCATTTGACTTTCCAAAACACAAAAACTCACCTTGGTTGTGTTACCTGTAGATTTCTAAGCTTCAAACGCCTATTGGTTGTGTTTTTCATTCCATAATGGCTACTCTGTCCAAACTCTTGTTTGTATGCCGTCAGAATACAAAATTTGGTAAGGAAGAAGGCAAAACCAACTCAGACCCAGAAAACATTTAGGAAATTTCCACTCAAGAAACCAAAAGTCAGCTGAGGCTCCCAAAATAATGACAGCAAGCCAGAATTGGAGCAAGCCAACAGCTGTGCCCTGATGGAAAAAGGCCATTCCTCCGGTGCCCTGAACTCCATATTGCAGCTTCAAAACCAAAGCTGACATCAGAAAATTCATTACAAACCATGATAAATAAGACAAATGAGAAAAAAGACAAAGAAATGCAAGAATCCATAATGATATTGGGCTGGATTTAGTCTCAAGGAAATCAGCTCTTCCCAGATTCATCCCCCCCTCCAGCTGACTACCTGTGGAATTTTGACTGCATTAACCTGAAAATCACAGTGAAACTCAGTTTGGAGGCAATTAATATCTGTCACCTCAGCCAAAGTGTTCCATTTGATTTTCCAAAACACAAAAACTCACCATGGTCGAGTTACTTGTAGATTTCTAAGCTTCAAAAGCATATTTGTTGTGGTTTTTATTTCATAATGGCTACTTTAACCAAACTCTTTTTTGTATTGCGTCAGAATACAAAATTTGACAAGGAAGAAGGCAAAACCAACTCAGACCCAGAAAACATTTAGGAAATTGCCGCTCAAGAAACCAAAAGTCAGCAGAGGTACCCAAACCAATTACATTAAACCAGAATTGGAGCAAGCAAAGAGCTGTGCCCTGATTGAAAAAGATTCATCCTCTTCTGCCCTGAACTCCATCTTCCAGACTCAAAACCAAAGCTCACATCAGAAAATTCATTACACACCATGATAAATAAGAAAAATGAGAATAAATCCAAAGAAATGCAAGATTCCATAATGATATTAGGTTTGATTTAGTCGCAAGGAAACCGGTTGTTCCCAGATTCATCCACCCCTCCAGCTGACTGCCTGTGGAATTCTGACTGAATTAACCTGAAAATCACAGTGAAACTCAGTTTGGAGGCAATTAATATCTGTCACCACAGCCAAAGTGTTCCATTTTATATTCCAAAACACAAAAACTCACCTTGGTCATGTTACCAGTAGATGTCTAAGCTTCAAACGCCTATTTGTTGTGTTTTTTATTTCAATATGGCTACTCTGTCTAAACTCTTGTTTGTATTGCGTCAGAAGCAACATTTGAAGGAAGAAGGCAAAACCAACTCAGACCCAGAAAACATTTAGGAACTTGCCGCTCAAGAAAGCAAACTCAGCTGAGGCCCCCAAACCAATGACAGTAAGCCAGAATTGGAGCAAGCAAAGGTCTGTGCCCTGATTGAATATGGCCATTCCTCCGGTGCCCTGAACTCCATCTTGCAGACTCAAAACCAAAGCTCACATCAGAAAATTCATTACAAACCATCATAAATAAGAAAAATGAGAAAAAAGCCAAAGAAATGCAAGAATCCATAATGATATTGGGCTTGATTCAGTCGCAAGGAAACCGGCTGTTCCCAGATTCATCCACCCCTCCATCTGGCTACCTGTGGAATTCGACTGAATTAACCTGAACATCGCAGTGAAACTCAGTTTGGAGGCAATTAATATCTGTCACCTCAGTCAAAGTGTTCCATTTGATTTTCCAAAACACAAAAACTCACCTTGGTCGTGTTTTCTGTACATGTATAACCTTGAAATGCTTGTTTGTTGTGTTTTTTATTTCATAATGGCTACTCTGCCGAAACTCTTGTTTGTATTGCATCAGAATACAAAATTTGGGAAGGAAGAAGGCAAAATCAACTCAGACCCAGAAAACATTTAGGAAAATGCCGCTCAAGAAACCACAAATCGGCTGAGGCACCCAAAACAATGACAGCAAGCCAGAATTGGAGCAAGCCAACAGCTATGCCCTGATTGATAATGACCATTCCTCTTGTGCCCTGAACTCCATATGCCAGCCTAAAAACCAAAGCGCACATCAAAAAATTCATTACAAACCATGATAAATAAGAAAAATAAGAGCCAAAGAAATGCAAGAATCCATAATGATATTGGGCTTGATTTAGTCGCAAGGAAACCGGCTGTTCCCGGATTCATCTACCCCTCCAGGTGACTGCCTGTGGAATTCTGACTGAATTAACCTGAATATCGCAGTGAAACTCAGTTTGGAGGCAATTAATATCTGTCACCTAGCCAAAGTGTTCCATTTGACTTTCCAAAACACAAAAACTCACCTTGGTTGTGTTACCTGTAGATTTCTAAGCTTCAAACGCCTATTGGTTGTGTTTTTCATTCCATAATGGCTACTCTGTCCAAACTCTTGTTTGTATGCCGTCAGAATACAAAATTTGGGAAGGAAGAAGGCAAAACCAACTCAGACCCAGAAAACATTTAGGAAATTTCCACTCAAGAAACCAAAAGTCAGCTGAGGCTCCCAAAATAATGACAGCAAGCCAGAATTGGAGCAAGCCAACAGCTGTGCCCTGATGGAAAAAGGCCATTCCTCCGGTGCCCTGAACTCCATATTGCAGCTTCAAAACCACAGCTGACATCAGAAAATTCATTACAAACCATGATAAATAAGACAAATGAGAAAAAAGACAAAGAAATGCAAGAATCCATAATGATATTGGGCTGGATTTATTCGCAAGGATACCAGCTGTTCCCAGTTCATCCACCCCTCCAGCTGACTGCCTGTGGAATTGTGACTGAATTCACCTGAAAATCGCAGTGAAACTCAGTTTGGAGGCAATTTATATCTGTCACCTCAGCCAACGTGTTCCATTTGATTTTCCAAAACACAAAACCTCACCTTGGTCATGTTACCTGTAGATTTCTAAGCTTCAAATGCCTATTTGCTGTGTTTTTCATTACAAAGTGGCTGCTCTGCCCAAACTCTTGTTTGCATGGCGTCAGAATACAAAATTTGGGAAGGAAGAAGGCAAAACCAACTCAGACCCTGAAAACATGCAGGAAATTGCTGCTCAAGAAACCAAAAGTCAGCTGAGGCACTCAAAACAATGACAGCAAGCCAGAATTGGAGCAGGCCAACAGCTGTGCCCTGTTTGAAAAAGGTCATTCCGAGCCGGCGCCGTGGCTCAATAGGCTAATCCTCCACCTTGCGGCGCCGGCACACCGGGTTCTAGTCCCGGTTGGGGCGCCGGATTCTGTCCCGGTTGCCCCTCTTCCAGGCCAGCTCTCTGCTATGGCCAGGGAGTGCAGTGGAGGATGGCCCAGGTGCTTGGGCCCTGCACCCCATGGGAGACCAGGAAAAGCACCTGGATCCTGGCTCCTGCCAGGATCAGCGCGGTGCGCCGGCTGCAGCGGCGGCCATTGGAGGGTGAACCAGCGGCAAAGGAAGACCTTTCTCTCTCTGTCTCTCTCTCACTGTCCACTCTGCCTGTCAAAAAAAAAAAAAAAAAAAAAAAAAAGAAAAAGGCCATTCCTCCGGTTCCCTGAACTGCATATTGCAGCCTCAAAACCAAATCTCACATCAGAAAATTCATTACAAACCTTGATAAATAAAAAATGAGAAAAAAGCCAAAGAAATGCAAGAATCCATAATGATATTAGGCTTGTTTTATTCGCATGGAAACCGGCTGTTCCCAGATTCATCCACCCCTCCAGCTGACTGCCTGTGGAATTCTGACTGAATTAACCTGAATATCGCAGTGAAACTCAGTTTGGTAGCAATTAATATCTGTCACCTCAGCCAAAGCGTTCCATTTTATGTTCCAAAACACAAAAACTCACCATGGTCGTGCTACCTGTAGATTTCTAAGCTTCAAAATCCTATTTCTTGTGGTTTTTATTTCATAATGGCTACTCTGCCCAAACTCTTGTTTGTATGGCATCAGAAAAGATAATTTGGGAAGGCAGACAGCAAAACCAACTCAGACCCAGAAAACCCATAATGATATTGGGCTGGATTTATTCGCAAGGATACCGGCTGTGCCCAGATTCATCCACCCCTACAGCTGACTGCCTGTGGAATTGTGACTGAATTCACCTGAAGTCAGCCGCGGCACCCAAAACAATGACGGGAAGCAAGAATTGGAGCAGGCCAACAGCTGTGCCCTGTTTGAAAAAGACCATTCCTCTTGTGCCCTGAACTCCATATGCCAGCCTCAAAACCAAAGCTCACATCAGAAAATTCATCACGAACCATGATAAATAAGAAAAAGGAGAAAAAAGCCAAAGAAATGCAAGAATGCATAATGATATTCAGCTTGATTTCGTCACAAGGAAACCGGCTGTTCCTGGATTCATCCACCCCTCCAGCGGACTTCCTGTGGAATTCTGACGGAATTCACCTGAAAATCGCAGTGAAACTCAGTTTGGAGGCAATTACTATCTGTAACCTCAGCCAAAGTGTTCCATTTGATTTTCTAAAACACAAAAACTCACCTTGGTCGTATTACCTGTAGATTTCTAAGCTTTAAACACATATTTGTAGTGTTTTTTATTTCATAATGGCTACTCTGCCGAAACTCTTGTTTGCATGCCATCAGAAAAGAAAATTTGGGAAGGAAGAAGGCAAAACCAACTCAGACCCAGCAAACATTTAGGAAATTGCCGCTCAAGAAACCAAAAGTCAGCTGAGGCACCCAAAGAAATGACAGCAAGCCAGATTTGGAGCAGGCCAACAGCTATGCCCTGTTTGAAAAAGAGTATTCCTCCGGTACCCTGAACTCCATATGCCAGCCTCAAAACCAAAGCTCACATCAGAAAATTCATTACAAACCATGATAAATAAGTAAAATGAGAAAAAAGCCAAAGAAATGCAAGAATCCATAATGATATTGGGCTTGATTGAGTCGCAAGGAAACCGGCTGTTCCCAGATTCATCCACCACTCCTGCTGACTGCCTGTGGAATTCTGACTGAATTAACCAGAAAATCGCAGTGAAACTCACTTTGGAGGCAATATATATCTGTGACCTCAGCCAAAGTATTCCATTTGATTTTCCAAAACATAAAAACTCACCTTGGTTATGTTACCTGTAGATTTCTAAGCTTCAAAGGCCTATTTGTAGTGTTTTTTAATTCATAATGGCAACTCTGTCCAAACTATTGGTTGTATCGTGTCAGAATAAATATTTGGGAAGGAAGAAGGCAAAACCAACTAAGATCCAGAAAACATAGAGTAAATTGCCACTCAAGAAACCAAAAGTCAGCTGAGGCACCCAAAACAATGACAGCAAGCCAGAATTGGAGCATGCCAACAGCTGTGCCCTGATTGAAAAAGAACCTTCCTCTGGTAACCTGAACTCAATATGCCAGCCTCAAAACCAAAGCTCACATCAAAAAATTCATTACAAACCATGATAAATAAGAAAAATGAGAAAAAAGCGAAAGAAATGCAAGAATCCATAATGATATTGAGCTGGATTTAGTCGCCAGGAAACCGGCTATTCCCGGATTCATCCACCGCTCCTGCTGACTGCCTGTGGAATTCTGACTGAATTCACCTGAAAATCGCAGTGAAACTCAGTTTGGAGGCAATTAATATCTGTCTCCTCAGGCAAAATGTTCCATTTGATTTTCCAAAACACAAAAACTCACCTTGGTCGTGTTACCTGTAGATTTCTAAGCTTCAAACGCCTATTTGCTGTGTTTTTCATTACAAAATGGCTACTCTGCCCAAACTCTTGTTTGTATTGTGGCAGAATACAAAATTTGGGAAGGAAGAAGGCAAAACCAACTCAGACGCAGAAAACATTTAGGATATTGCCGCTCAAGAAACCACAAATCGTCTGAGGCTCCCAAAACAATGACAGCAAGCCAGAATTGGAGCAGGCCAAGAGCTGTGCCCTGTTTGAAAAAGACCATTCCCAGCCGGCTCCGCGGCTCATTAAGCTAATCCTCCACCTAGCGGCCCCAGCACACCAGGTTCTAGTCCCGGTCTGGGTGCAGATTCTGTCCCGGTTGCCCCTCTTCCAGGCCAGCCCTCTGCTGTGGCCAGGGAGTGCAGTGGAGGATGGCCCATGTGCTGGGGCACTGCACCCCATGGGAGACCAGGAAAAGCACCTGGCTCCTGGTTCCTGCAATCGGATCAGCGCGGTGCGCCCGCCGCAGCACACTGGCCGCGACGGCCATTGGAGGGTGAACCAACGGCAAAGGAAGAAATTTCTCCCTGTCTCTCTCTCTCACTGTCCACTCTGCCTGTCAAGAAAAAAAAAAAAAAGGAAAAAGACCATTCCCCCGCATCCTGAACTCCATATTGCAGCTTCAAAACCAAAGCACACCTCAGAAAATTCATTACAAACCATGATAAATAAGAAAAATAAGAAAAAGGCCAAAGAAATGCAAGAATCCATTATGATATTGGGCTTGATTCACTCGAAGGAAACACGCTGTTCCAGGATTCATCCACCCCTGCAGCTGACTGCCTGTGGTATTCTGACTGAATTAACCTGAAAATCACAGTGAAACTCAGTTTGGAGGCAATTAATATCTGTCACCTCAGCCAAAGTGTTCCATTTGATTTTCCAAAACACAAAAACTCACCTTGGTCGTGTTACCTGTAGATTTCTAAGCTTCAAACGGCTATTTGTTGTGTTTTTTATTTCATAATACCTACTCTGTCCAAACTCTTGTTTGTATTGCATCAGAATACAAAATTTGGGAAGGAAGAAGGCAAAACCAACACAGACCCAAAAAACATCTAGTAAATTGACACACTAGAATCCACAAATTTGCTGAAGCACTCAAAACATTGACAGCAAGCCAGAATTGGAGGAGGCCAACAGCTGTGCCCTGATTGAAAAGAACCATCCTCTTGTTCCCTGAACCCAATATGCCAGCCTTAAAACCAGAGCTCACATCAGAAAATTTATTACAAACCATGATACATAAGAGAAATGAGAAAAAGCCAAAGAAATGCAAGAATCCATAATGATATTGGGCTTGATTTAGTCGCAAGGAAACCGGCTGTTCCTGGATTCATCCACCCCTGCAGCTGAATGCCTGTGGAATTCTGATGGAATTAACCTGAAAATCGCAGGGAAACTCAGTTTGGAGGCAATTAATATCTGTCACCTCAGCCAAAGTGTTCCATTTTCTTTTCCAAAACACAAAAACTCACCTTGGTCGTGTTACCTGTAGATTTCTGAGCTTCAAACGCCTATTTGTTGTACGTTTTATTTCATAATAGCTACTCTGTCCAAACTCTTGTTTGTATTGCATCAGAATACAAAATTTGGGAAGGAAGAAGGCAAAACCAACTCAGACCCAGAAAATATTTAGGAAATTACTGCTCAAGAAACCAAAAGTAAGCTGAGGCATGCAGAACAATGACAGCAAGCCAGAATTGGAGCAAGCCAACAGCTGTGCCCTGATTGAAAAAGAACCTTCCTCTTGTGCACTGAACTCAATATGCCAGCCTCAAAACCAAAGCTCACATCAGAAAATTCATTACAAACCACGATAAATAAGGGAAATCTGAGAAAGCCAAAGAAATTCAAGAGTCCTTTGTGGTATTTGGCTGGATTTAGACACAAGGAAACTGGCTGTTTCAGGATTCATCCCACCCTTAAACAGACTGACTTTGGAATTCTGATTGAATTCACCTCAAAATTGCACTCACACTCAATTTGGAGGAAATTAGTATCTGTCCCCTCAGCAGAAGGGGTCCATGTCACTTTCCAAAACAAAGAAACTCATCTTGATTGTGTTGCCTGTAAAGTTCTAATCCTGAAAGGCCAATTTGCTTTGTATTTTTTTTTTCTTTCATAATGGCTACTCTGTAAAAATATTGCTTGTATTGCATCAGAATACAAAATTTGGGAATAAGAAGGCAAAAGTAACTCAGACCCAGAAAACATT